TAATTCCATTGTTTGATCTATTTCTTTCTTATAGTTTAAAGAAATTAAGGGTTTTTGGAATGAAATGAGTGATAATTTAGCAAACCCGAGTCTTGGTAGAACTATTTGAAACTTGTTATAATTCAATTTTTAGTGTTTTTAACTCTTTTCTTACCCTCTAGGCACGATCAACTGTTTCGTTCTTACGTTGTCTTTTATTGAGGATGCCAACGTGACATTGTCTTAGTACAATGATGTGGAAAGTGTTTCAATGTATATCACAGTAAATGTATATCTGTCCAAGGTCGATAGACCCAGGTCGGTCTGTTAGCTAGATGTTCTTTGGAATTTCCCGATCTAACGACAGATTTCCCCGATTTGCTGTTTCACTACTTTCCGAACGTTTCCCCGATTTACGCTGCCCCGTTGCATAGTTCCTCCTCGATCTCTCTGGTCTGCATAAGAGCAATGTAATCGGATCGGGGGATCAGCAGAGTGGGACAAGCACATCGGGAGAATCTGTTGGGAACGCGGACAGCCCTCACCGCTGTTTTTCAACGATTAACACACTCAACTTTCCTAACGGACTGATCTAGGTCTATCGACCTTTTATCCGTCATGGCCGCGAGTTACATGGGTACAGAATGTTTTAGGTACGTCTTGGACTCGCTTGCTCTTTTTTGATTAAATTTCCGAACGCGTTTCTCTATTATTAATATCTTATATGAATCTCTATGATTTTCGCCTCCTCCTTACCTCTATTTCCTGCACTTAGAAGAATGCTATTCATACGGTGTGCCGTACTCCTTATAGCTGCCGTTTTGTGGAATACTGGACTAAATTCTGTTGACATTACGCAACCTCACATGGCAACATCGCAACTTTCTTTCAGCCAATCCTGCCGTCTCTCTAATTGCTAGCAAACCATGCTCTTACTTACTGTTTGCCTGTGCGTGCATGTACTTAGCTTCTTATATAAACACGTTCAAATGCAACCCTTGTAGTTCTCCCTTCATTTTTACTCCAACAGGTTATGGGCCCAGACACGTTATTTAGAACTACGGAGCCCCAGACACGTTATTTAGAACTACGGAGTATACTTATCGGTGCACGTGAGTTTATGAGTTTTGTGACGATGCGGTTTTTTTTCGTCTACCTCGTGCGTGCAGCGCCGGGAGTTCGGGACTGAACGGCCGATGTAAGAAATTTACTTTTTTTAGGGACCTTTTTTGTTTTGTCGCCGTGATTTTTTCTTTCTCATCCTTTTTCTCGCGACGGTTCTTTATCGTGACAAGGAAAATCAAAATCACTATGTCGACGTCAAATGTAAGTGACATAACCTAAACCATTACCGTACCCAAACTAAACGGATCAAATTGGAAGATATGGAAATTCCAATTGCGTGTCATACTAAAGTCTAAGTCGCTTTGGGACTTGGTCACTGGAAAGGAGGTGAAACCTGAAAGCGGAAGTAAGGAAAAGAAGAAAGCCCTTGAAGAGTTCAACAAAAGGGATGCAAGGGCTCAAGAACTCATCGTCACACGCATGAAGCAGAACGCGCTTTCTCATATTCTCACCTGCGAGAGTGCTCGTGACGTGGGGTCTAAACTAGAAACTGTCTTTAAAAGGCAACCACAGGTTAGCATTCACTTGCTGCAACATCAGTTTTTTAATGCTGAATTTGAAGGCAGCCTAATAGAAGTTGTTTCCACTATCGAACATTTCACCTCCAAAATTTAACAGCAAAATGTATCCATTCCTGAAAACAAAGATTTTGATGTCCCTGCCTGACAAGTAAAAGTACTTAATATCAGCGTGGGAGTCAGTTCCTGAGGAAGAGCAAACTCTCTCTGTTTTAACTTCACGACTCCCAGTGGAAGAAGAGAGGCTGAAGTCATTCGAGGTGCACTTTTCTCTCGCCAGTAACAGAAGAAACCGTTAATTCGTTTTCTATGCAATGGACAAGGCCATAAGAAGCATCAGTGTCCTTAGGCTGGGAAGGAAACTCATTCTGATAATGTTAAGAAATCTTTACACCGTGATTTTTGTGATAATGATGGCCACATTTCTCGATACTGTTCTGCTGAGCGCAACAAGTCCAAACGGGAGAAGAACAGTGAGCAAGGAAATGTAGCTTTTGTTGCTTTGATCGGTGCGATAAATTGTAGCGTTAACCAGGATATATGTTGGTACCTGGACAGTGGCGCGTCAGTCCACATGTGCTATGATAAGTAGATGTTCAGCAATTATGAAGTTTTGGAGGAACCAAAATCTGTGACTGTTGGAAATGGTGCGCACATTGATGGCGTTGGTGTTGGCACAGTCAAAGTTCAATCGAGTGACGGAAGCAGCTATTCCACTTTTGACATTGAAAATGTTTTTCATGTACCAGACATAAAAGTGAACATTTTTTCTCAGGGAGTCGTCCTTGACGAAGAATTCCGCGTGGTATCAAATGTAGATGAGGAAAAGATAATTCACAGTCAATCTAACAAAGTTTTTGTCGTAACCATGAGAGACGGCAAACTTTTCAATATGTCTTTCCGTCAAGATGAAGCAGAGAAAGCTTTAGTTGCCAAGCAGTCAAAGAAGTCACTTAGTCGGTACCATGAAGTTTTTGCCCATCTAAGTGTCAGTCATGTTAAAAAACTTTTATCGCAGATGAACATTTCTTGGAAAACTGACAGTGATAATTTTTTATGTGAGCCGTGCATTCAAGAAAAGCATGCCCGATCATTTTCTAAGCTCAGTTTTTCTCTTGCCAGCAAAGCGGGAGAACTAATTCATGCTGATCTGAATGGTCCTATGGAGCAAAAGTCATTAGGAGGCTCAAGCTATTTTTTTACTCCTAAACGATGACTATTCAAAGTTTAGAACGGTGTATTTCCTCAAAGAGGAAAGTGAAGTCTGACAGATAATAACTAATTTTCTTAACTTTATTGAGAATCAGTTTGGTCACAATGTGAAGACTTATAGATCAGACAATGGAGGTGAATTTCTGAATAACGCCTTAGCTGATGTTTTCTCAAAATATGGAATCAAATCTAAGTTATCTGTGTCTTACCATCCAGAACATAGTGGACGTGCTGAACGAGAAATGAGAACCCTTGTGGAAGCTGCCAGAACCATGCTAGCAGGCAAGAAGTTAGGCAAAAAGTTTTGGGCTGAAGCTATTGGCATGGCCGCTCATGTCATTAACAGGACCGGAAATAGCTCTGTCCCAGGCAAAACAACATATCATGTACGGACGAAGAAAGATAATTTAGATTTCAGCTCTCTTGTAAGCCCTTTTGGTGCTGATGTTTGGGTGCAAGTTCCGAAACAGAAAAGAAGAAAGCGGGATGTTAAAAGTAGAAAAGGTATTTTCGTCGATTATTTCTGCGGAACCAAAATTGTAAAAGTTTATTTTCCAGACACAAACTCTATCAGTGTCGAAAGAGATGTTATTTTTATCCCTGAGAAGACTGAGCCTTTGACTGGAAAATCTGACGTGCCTGTTCCAGACACTGTACCTGAGCGAAGACAATTCTGACGACAAGGAGCCGCAACCCGAAGCAGCAATTTTTGATCCTGAAATGCCAAATAGTCCTTGAGTTTGAGGGAGGCTGTTGACATTATGCAACCTCACTTGGCAACATCGCAACTTTTTTCAGCCAACCATGGCGTCTCTCTAATTGCTAGCTTTTTCTCTCTAATTAGCTTCTTATATAAATACGTTCAAATGCAACCCTTGTAATTCTCCCTTCATTTTCAACGCCCCTAAATCATTCAACAAATCCATCACTTTGGATGTAGTCTTCAGTGCAAGTTGGTTTTTCATAGATAGGTATAAAAAACTATTTTGTTACCCTCTCTAACGAGCCATAAATCCAGAAATGGCATTTTGTTGTCTTGTGTCACATTCTACCGTGAATTTATCCGAGTCTTCTTTGTTGTTAAGGATTCGCAATGCTTCATGCACCTGATTTTTCTTTATTATCGCAAAAATATCATTCACGTATCTACAGAAAAACACAGATAAAGTCGTTCAGTCTCTCTACCTCAAAATCACTCATGAATATATCGGCGCCAAACGGCGAAGAAAGGGTTGCCCATGAACTCGCCATGTTTCTGTTACAGACCATGTCATTGAACTTAAAAAGCTTTTTGTTCTGTGTAAACTTTCACGAGTTGTAAATAATCCTTTCCTTAATTTTGGAATCTGATGATTCATCGGATCGAAGCCAATTTGCAATGATAATCAGCATTCTAGGAACCAGCACGCTTGGGAATAGGTAAAGCCTTAACATCGAATGAAACCATTTTTCAATATCCAAGGGGTGTCCTTTTAGCAGTCATGGCGATTAAAATGACGACTTTTTTTCCGTGACCGTATAAAATAGATATTCAGTCATTGCATTAATAGTTAAACTGATATTAAATAGAACGGAGAGGCCGTAACTACGTTCCTGTGACGTCACGCCAGTAGTTGAAACTCGGCAGCGGTTTAACATGTGCTCTTTTAGAAGAACTTATGGCGCACGTGCCTTTTGTGCCTTCTTCTTCTCGGGGGTTGATCTAATGCAAAAATTCATATGAATCTTTTCAAAAGAGGATTAAATGTCACTTCAGAAAACGAACTAGTCCATATTTGACTTCGTCTGATAGTTGAGGGAATGAAAGCAAAATACCGAAAACCTTCACTTCAATTAGATTCAAGTGCGCCTCTCATGCAATCTCGGCCGATCGAGGGCCAATCTGATCGGTCTACACGACGACTGCATCACTTATCGATGCTCCAATGGCCTGGATATGATATATTGTTCTTTCCGGTAAATATCCGCTAGTTTGACGTTACAAAGTTACGGCCTCCCCATTTGGTTTAACCGTTTTAACCAGGAATGCTTTGGTTTTCTTTCTTTAAATATTTAAAATATATTGCGAGCCTATTGAATGGCGAAATCGATTACTTCTTATGTGCATAACGCATGGATTATCATCGTAAATGTTCCAATATGTTACTATTTCCGTTCGTGTTGCAGGTTTCACAACCGTCGGTTCTACCCCTAAGAGCCAGTATATGCAGAAAAGGCGCCAGTTGTTTAAAATTGGGAGTCGGGGGAGCGAGCCCGGTTATTTTACCTGGCCGCGAGGCATTGCGGTTGGACCTGACAACTCCATCGTAGTGGCTGATTCGTCCAATCACCGCGTCCAGGTAATTAAAATCTAAGAGTTCTTGGACACTACATACAGCCAGGGAGCATACGTATATTCATACGTACGTAAAAATTCGTGAAGGCATGTTGTGTCATACATCAATCCCTTCGTTTTGATGTCTAGAAAAAGAAAATTGATGATGGTCTTATCAAATTTCATGCAAACTACTCCAAAATCAAGATGGCTGCCAAAATGACGGTTTTGGGAAACGTACTTGAAGTTGCCAAATACGCCGTGTTAGGTGTCGATTCTTATGTATTTTGGATTGTACAATCCGAATTTATAGTCGAACGTTAGCCTTAAGGTAATTTTCAAGCCAAAATCCAATATGGCGGCCAAAAATACCACTCGGGGGTCCTAATTTGCTCATACGGGTCTACACGCATAGTGAGGTACCAATCAGTTGGTTTCCAGGGCTGTAGAGTCTGAAAATAAGGTCCATTTTTCGCTGCAGCTCTCAAGAAACCCTAAAATCAAATATTGCGCCCAAAATGGTCACCGGTTTTACGGGTTGAACACCAATTTAGCGCAGCTTGGACAAACAATATGTGCAAGATTAAGTTTTATGGGTCAAAAAGTTCGAATAGAAGATAAAATGTTTACTCCTACGAAAAGTTAAGCCTTCGAATTGAAATTTGCAGCCGACATGGTTGTCAGTTAGAAGCGCAGATAGCTAAATGGACGTATTTCTACCAAACGGAACGAAGCGCCAATTTTTAAATTTTCAGTTTTTAACGGATTTGGATTCTTCATCGCCTTAGCGACTCTGAGGCATGAGTATGTTCCGCAAAAATTCATTTCATCCCGCAAGAATAGCGCATGAAAAATCGTTAAACGGGGAAATAGTTTTAAGGGACAACTTCCTACTCAGGCGTTGGTAAATTGGATTTCAAATTCAATTAAGTATACCGTGAAAAATTGCCCCGTAATACTAAGTTTTACACGAATCGGTCTGATAAGCGACGGAGATGACTTATGGGCATCAGCCACGATCTTGGATTTTTAAATTTTGGTAATTCGACCAGAAATAAAAGTTTCCCGTCCAATAATACCCTTTGATACCAAGTTTTAGCAAGATCGATTGAACAGGAGCCGAGATGCCGGCATAGAATATTCTTTCCTGCACATAGTTCTGTTTGACGAAGTGCATCATCCCCATCAGCGCATTAAGTCAACGGATACGGAACCATTTGTAATCTTCCCTTTATCTCGCAAAATTCATTTAACTCGCGATTCTTATTTCAGGAGTTTTGGCAAGACATAGGTATCGTTAGAGAGGCTCTTTGGCTTTCCAACAAACTGCAGAAATTAGAAATCAGTCCATTAGTAAAAAAATGCCAATGATTTTTGCAAAACATGCTTCACAGGAAAGTTTAAAAATTGCACATAGTTCTGTTTGGTAGAAATATATATCCAAATGACAATTGGATTACATTTTGCAATAAGGAGCCACTATCTCTGGCTCTCTCATAAAAGCACGTATCTGCATTGGGAAGCCAACGGCATATATGTTGTTTTTAAAATGGGCCAGAAATAGTGGTTCCTTTTTACAAAATGTAATCCAATTGATACTAGGGGGTTTCAACAAGGGCCACCGTTTAGCCCATACTCCGGAATTCGTATTTTCTACGATTTTTTGCTTATTGTAAGTCTAAATTTTACGTCATTTTCGGTCTATTGTGGNGGGGGGGGGGGGGGGGGGGGGGGTCTAACACTGGCCGAAGCATGAGTCTGAAGGCTGATTTTGGCGAAAAACGTGGGTCTTTTGGCATTCGATTTGGCTGTTTCATAACTATCCCATAGAAGGAGCAAACTTTCCGTCACGTATGTGTAAGATAGTCATTTTGGCCAATTTTCGTCGATGTCAAACCTTGCGCTCATGGTTGAAAATAACTTTTTAGACTTTTTTTGTTTTTCATCATTATTTAAAATGGCATAAATAATTAGGGAGACTCGGCTTAAATCAGAATTACCTAGATTCCTCGGCGAAAAATGTACGTAGTTGGTCAAAACCTTCCTCCAAAAACTTTTTGGATTAAAAGCTCCCCCCCCCTCCCCCCCAAAAAAACCCGTGTTGCCATACTTTTTTGCCTAAAATCACAGGAAACCGAGTGAACATCTCAGTATTTGAAGGCGGTTCTTCGTCGAGCTCATTCAGCAATGATCAAAACCCTTGGTTTATTAAACGTCATGATCACATGACTAGTGATTACATACAATATGTATTTATATACAGAGACTCCCACGGCGCGGCATTGCCACAAACAGTAAAATTCTAGAAAAAGCCGATCCGGCCTAGAATTCGAGCCATTTTTGGGATTATACGGAATAAATATGTACCTAAGACTTAAATTAAAGTATGCAGCGATGTAAGTAGATTATCTATTGTGCCGGTAATAATTATTTTAAGATCTTGCGCTTGTAGACGACCCATTTTCTTACGAATTCTAAAAACGAGAAATGACGTGTGTTCATCTAACAAAAGCTTAGTTTTTCTGGTTTAGACTTGTGTCTATAATGAGCGAGGTTACCAGATGACAGATGCGGCGGTCGACGACTCTATTGCCCACCTTTCACTGGCAGTGCCACCCGAATATGCCCATAGGGTTCAATGTCGCTTAGGTTTTTGAGTTTCACAAATGTTGCACTTTTTCTTGCGATGGATTTTTAATATTTGGTAACTACAGCTTTCTCCGCGCGATGAGATAGTAGAATTCTCATCTTCGTTTCAAAGTTGCATCTTTTTGAGCGAATATCATGTCAAGAGTTCGTAAGAAAATGGGTCATCTACAAACCCAAGTTTTAATTCTTTACCTAGATTAGGTAAAACGTTAAAGCGGGTGCGGAGGGGATTTTTGGCTTACCTTGCGTAGGTCTTGAGTTAGTTTTTCTTCCTCTGTAATGGTATTTTCATTAATGTAAACGTGGAAGGTTTCGCTTTTTATGAGAGTGAATGCTGGAGATGCAAGAGTAAATTCCAGTTTGAAGCAGTACATATACCTTCCACTCTTAACCTCTCCCCTTCCGTCAGATAACCCTATACTGTTCTCCCAGTTCAATTCCCTATCATACCACACTCCGCACCGTTTAGACGGTTGCTTGCTTGGCCTATTGTAAGTCGCCATGAAATATTGTGCATGCTTAAACGCTGCTCATTGCACGTTCCCAAAGTACAAAGATAACCTACGGAACAACGCATCAGATTTATATAAATATGTCGTCCTTAAATTACGTGAGTTACTTTTTTTATAGTCTCGTCTCCCTCCATAAGGTGCCCCTGGACCCTTTTCCCCCTGGAATAACCGATAATTTAGCGGGAAATTGTGTTGAAACAAAGAAGTACTGTTTGCAGCTGCAAATGTGTTCTTGGAAAGGTTTCTAAAATAATCATTGTAAATGGATACAGACGCTTTAAAAAAGAAACGAATGAAAGTGAACAGATCTCTTTTTCTAATACATTCCCTTCAGTTTATATATTTTGGACACTTTTTCGGGAGAAGTTCCTTTTAAATTTCATTTTGCCATTTGTCAGGCAGTCCGTGTTAAAAAGTGCTTATACATGCCAAATTTTGCATGTAAATACATAGTTTCACGGAAAATTGGCATGGAAATTTTTTCCACGGAAAAAATTGGCATGGAAATATCGCGCATACCTTGATGACGTCACCTTATCCACCTCTGTTTATCATCACAACATGTAAACAATAACACCAAAGATGAGCGTGAGTATGTATCTTAACTATAGTGTCTTTCTTGATATGTTGCAGATCTCCATTTGTCTCCATGTTTGTGTTTTTCTAGTTTCACATCGCCTGTCGCCTTCTAGATTATCTACTAGGTTATGTCCGCCGCGTGTTCCTATCCTCTTGCACTCCACACATGCAAACTTTATCCTTCCGGAGGATTTTCACTAATTATGGTCCCGCACGTCACAGGGTGGCCGACTTATGTCCCGGAACAAGAAAAATACTACATTTGAACACTTTTCACACTGTTTTCGATAGGGAATCGAGGAGCACGATGCGCACCACCGACCGACCCTATATTTCCATTAACAGCGGAAAAAATAAATTTAGAAGAATTTATGAGCTGATTCGTCATGCAGTTCGATGACAACTCTGAGCGAACCTTAAAGTGGCGTGCAAAGCTCGTGTCGGGGTGTAAGCGCACCCCGAACAGCTATATATTCATAAATTTGGAAATGGCGGCATGCCCCTGACACGCGGGGCTCTTTGACGTTACAATTTTGTTCTTGGAGTCTCTAAAATATATGTATAATTGTTTAAAACTACAAAAACCCTCAAAAACATTTTTCGGGCAAAAAATCCGGTCGAGGAAATTGACGTGTCACTTC